TGTTTTTAGGCAATGAAGAACTGCTACAATATCGTTAGAATAAGAAGGTAAATTTTGACAGTTTACAGTTTATTAATGATTATAAATAGCTTAATTGGTATATTGGGCGGTCACAAAATCGTAATACCATGGTTCGAGCCCAGACCGACCGACCGGCTTTTTTTAATTTTTTTTTTCAAATTACTTTCTTTTTTGAGAAAATCTATTTTTTCGTGCCCTTTTTTTAGAATTTTTTAAAAACACGAAAATTTAAATTAAACTAATTGCACTCATGACTTTTTATTCAAATAACCAGTTCAGTTTTTTCTATTATGTCGCTACGATCAAAAAATATTATTCGTATTTCATCAGTATATAATTTGTATCCAAATATAAATTTCCAAAACGCACGAATAAAAAAAAAACCGAGCGAAAAATACCGAGCAAAGCTCGGTGTACTCGCATTTATGCACGCTGCAGTCTATTGTAACTGAAGTCATCAGAATCACACGTTCAAAAGTTTGAAGCTGTGTACATCATTTCTCGTCTAACTAACTATGCTATTAAAGTCCAGTGCTGAACATAGGCCTCCCCCATAGGTTGCCTCATGGAAGGGATATTTATCATAGATGGCACGCTTAGCAAGCTGCTTGGCAACCGTTGTTTTATTTTTAGTCGTTATTAGGCAGACGCCGCTGCCCATCTACTAACTTGTTTCTCTCTGTTGCCTCTTACACACACAGGGGACGAAAAGAAGGGACGGATCATCTGACGGCGCAATTGATGAAGTTTTAAGTCTGCCGTTCACTTATGCAATATAAATTTGCTTTGTCACTGTTTCCTCATTCATTCTTTCCTCATGACCAAAGCACCGTATCCTGGTCACAACATCTCTGTCTAGTCTGTAGAGATTAATATTCAATAAAAGTTAAAGTTTAGAAAAACGTTCGTATGGACTATGTTATTAAATTAAAAACCGTTTAATTAACACTCCACTACGCGCGCCCCTGTTTGGGACGCGAGTGCTCGCGCGCTCTACATATGTAGAACTATTTTGTGTAAAGATTTTACAGGAACAATAAACAAATATAAAAATACTTCAATATCACGTGAAAACAAACTATAATAAGAAACTAAAATAGACGAAACATAACTGTTACCATTTATTAGGCACTTAATATCAGACTTGTGAATTTTGAGAAAAATCTATGATTTTTTTGGCATCAAACCTTCTCAGTCTCCTTTTTTTACTCGCTCATATCTTCCACACGGTCTTTATCATTTTTACAACAGTCAAGCCATTGAAGAACTTGATGTTGAGGACGAATCCACTTTTTTACGGGTGTCACACTGTTTTCTAGTGGACTTATTGCGCGCTCTGCCACAAAAAGAACATTTCCCGATTCGACCAGTATTGGGGAGTTGTGCTGGGCATGGTTGTAATTCCGATGGCTCTTTCATGCTTAAAAGCATTTTCTCTTTCATTTTCAATGATTTTGGAATACTTTCATTATTTATTCTGCGTTGTATGCATGGCGCGACTAGGTGAAAACCAAGTTCATATAAAAAATCCTTCCTGGCCTTATTTCTGTAGTCCTTGTTTATTGTATGTACAATATAACCGTTTATAGCACTTATATTCATTAAATTGAAAAAAATAGTAAGTGAGACGTCATAAATACTGCAAATAATTTCCACGCCATATATGGTATTGTTGTAAAAAGTTATTATTTCCGGCTTACGTTTCTCTGCTGTTTGTAAATCGATATGATTATATATATGTATTTATGATATGTGAGTAAATAAGCACCACTTTCTTTGATTTTGGCATGTAAGATACTAAAGTACCTTGTTTTTGAAAGCCAAAAATTGAACTCGTTTCGTTTCTGTTTCTTGTGATTTTGAATTCTTTGGGAATTTGTGGCTTATTTTTCTTCACAGTGCCTACGACAGTAATTTTGCTACCTAAGAGTTGTAAACATTGAGGTATATTCGTGAATGAATTGTGCATTGTGACGTTATAACCTAAACCATCCAATGGGGTAAGCATTCGTTGCACAATGTCCACAACTTTATTTGATTGTGCATAAGGACCATCTGCTGAGCACCTGCGTATATTTCCATATGGTAGGCTTAAGATACCTTTGTATCCGTTAGTAAAAATATATGTATCCCATACTTTTCTGGTTGCTTCATCAGTAATAACTTCTTCCAACCATCTCAAAATATGTGCCATCATTGTGCGAAATATAGTTACTTCGGTTAAAAATAATATTATCAAACAAAAAAATTCATAACAACAATATTTATACATAATATAAACACTTACATAAAATAAAAACGATAGGTAAACTTCCGACAAAAATGACACGCGATTGGTCGCGCGCTCTACTATTGTAGAATTTTAGTTTTTGGTGCGAAATTTCTAACAAGTGCGATCGCGCAGTTTGCCGAAAGGGTACTAATTGTGATCACCAGCTAGTAATAGAGGAATACTAAGAGTGTGTGCGTTAGACACCCACAATTAATGTTAAAATCCCACGAAATGCATGCCTGTTCTACAATAGTAGAACGCGCGACTAATGGAGTGTTAATATCTGACGCGACTAACCGTGGTCTATATATATATATATATAGTACCCGGTTGACCGAATTTTGCTCGGTATTTTTCGCTCGGTTTTTTTTAATTCGTGTGTTTTGGAAATTATATTTAGATACAAATTACATACTGATGAAATACGAATAATATTTTTTGATCTTAGCGACATAATAGAAAAAACTGAACTGGTTATTTGAATAAAAAATCATGAGTGCAATTAGTTTAATTTAAATTTTCGTGTTTTTAAAAAATAATAAAAAAAGGGCTCGAAAAAAATAGATTTTCTCAAAAAAAGAAAGGAATTTGAAAAAAAAAAAATTAAAAAAAGCCGGTCGGTCGGTCTGGGCTCGAACCATGGTATTACGATTTTGTGACCGCCCAATATACCAATTAAGCTATTTGTAATCATTTATAAACTGTAAACTGTCAAAATTTACCTTCTTATTCTAACGATATTGTAGCAGTTTTTCATTGCCTAAAAACACGGACAAAAAGACATTTTCTAAAAATAAATCCTAGTTAGATCGATTTATTGCCCCCGAAACTCCCTGCACACAAAATTTTATGAAAATCGTTGGAGCCGTTTCCGAGATTCCGATTATATATATATACAAGAATTGCTCGTTTAAAGGTATAGGATAAGAGATAAATGCGGTATGCAAGATTATGTTGTGACCAGGATTAAGAAAGTAATGCTTCAGTGGTTTGGTCGTGTAGAAAGAATGAATGAGGAAAGAGTGACAAAGCAAATTTATATGGCAGATGTGAACGGCAGAGTCGGGAAGGGACGCCCTAGAAAAAAGTTTATCGACCAAATTGGCGATATTTTGAAAATGGGCCACGTTAAAAGTACTCTTAACCGACGAGCATGTATGCGTAGATATATGGATGTAAAGGAGGCGAAAGAGGTATGTCAGGACCGTGCCAAATGGAAGTCCGTAGTCTCTGCCTAACCCACTGACTGACAGTCGTGAATGTTTATGTTGTTATATATACTTAGTCAAGTCACAAACACTTTTTGATAATTATATAGAAATTATATATGAAATACTACTACTAATAGAATACAATTTTATTTAGATTAGTCAAAATGCCCCCCCCCCTTTTAATACATACTCCTAATCAGCCTAATCAGTGCAGCACGCACCACAGTCACCTCTATTTCCGCCGCTGCTTTATCTAAATATGCTCAGAGAGACTCCAAATTCTGATGAGTTTTAGCGCAGACTTTATCCTCCAAATGTTACCATATCTTATAATCCAGTGGGCTTCAATCTCGACTAGAAACGGGCCAGTCTTCATATCCGATAATGTCAATTCCATGGGCGGGCAACCAGTTTTGCGTGCTTCGTGACCTATGAGCCGGTACAGAGTCCTGTTGGAATATGCAATGTTTGTTTTTGAGCATTGGTTGGAGAAAGAGGTTCCACTATGTTTTTAGGACGGTATTTTGGTACACCTCGGCACTAGTTTTTACACCTTTTTCACAGAAAAACACCTCCGTTAAGCCTGAATATGAGACTCCAAGTAAAACCATGAGTGACGAAGGATAATGTGCTCTTTGAACCCTCGGAATACGCGTACTGGTATCTTCACTACTGTGGGCATACACCTTATCATTTTGTTTATCATAACTTTCTTCGATGTTAATAATTTTTTCATCCGAAAATAAAATTTCCAGTATTTTTTACCGCGTACCGTCGTAACAAAGCGCGGGATCTATACAGCCTAATTTTTTTCAAATGCTCTTTCAATAAATGTCCGGTCTTCTTACGATAAGCTCGTAGTCCTAGGTCTTCATTGATCACTCTTTTAATCGTGGTTCTGCTTAGGCCGATCTGAAGAGCTAAGATTTTTTGTTTACGAACTGGATTGCGTTAGATCCGCGCCTTTTAGAGGGCGCGGATCTTCGAAGCTTGAATCTTCAGTGAATCGTTAGATAGTGCGATAAACAAATCGTAGCGTTATTTTCAGTTTTTGTAGAATATTGAAAATCTCTTTTGGCGCGTAACCACAGCAGTGCAACGCGATAACAGTTATGCTATCTTCTTTCTTCGACCAATCTATATTTGAAAATGAATGAAAATTAATACCCTTTTTACTTTCGGCAAGTGCAAATGTTTTATTTTTAAAATTGGTAAAGTTCATCTAGCCAGTATTCAAAAATTTTCAATAATAAGGTTTTGACGAAACTTATGACCCGACTAAGTAAGTGATAGTATTACTACCATATGTGGGATAAGGTGAAGCATCAACCGTGCGATGGAGTCGACTCTACGTGTTGCATCGCCTACCCTATAGTCGACTCTACGTGTTGCATCACCTACCCTATAGTCGACTCTACGTGTTGCATCGCCTACCCTATAGTCGACTCTACGTGTTGCATCGCCTACCCTATAGTCGACTCTACGTGTTGCATCGCCTACCCTATAGTCGACTCTACGTGTTGCATCGCTACCCTATAGTCGACTCTACGTGTTGCATCGTCTACCCTATAGTCGACTCTACGTGTTGCATCGTCTACCCTATAGTCGACTCTACGTGTTGCATCGCCTACCCTATAGTCGACTCTACGTGTTGCATCGCCTACCCTATAGTCGACTCTACGTGTTGCATCGCCTACCCTATAGTCGACTCTACGTGTTGCATCGTCTACCCTATAGTCGACTCTACGTGTTGCATCGCCTACCCTATAGTCGACTCTACGTGTTGCATCGCCTACCCTATAGTCGACTCTACGTGTTGCATCGCCTACCCTATAGTCGACTCTACGTGTTGCATCGTCTACCCTATAGTCGACTCTACGTGTTGCATCGTCTACCCTATAGTCGACTCTACGTGTTGCATCGTCTACCCTATAGTCGACTCTACGTGTTGCATCGTCTACCCTATAGTCGACTCTACGTGTTGCATCGCCTACCCTATAGTCGACTCTACGTGTTGCATCGTCTACCCTATAGTCGACTCTACGTGTTGCATCGTCTACCCTATAGTCGACTCTACGTGTTGCATCGCCTACCCTATAGTCGACTCTACGTTGCATCGGTCCACCCTATAGTCGACTCTACGTGTTGCATCGCCTACCCTATAGTCGACTGTACGTGTTGCATCGTCTACCCTATAGTCGACTCTACGTGTGTTGCATCGCCTACCCTATAGTCGACTCTACGTGTTGCATCGTCTACCCTATAGTCGACTCTACGTGTTGCATCGTCTACCCTATAGTCGACTCTACGTGTTGCATCGTCTACCCTATAGTCGACTCTACGTGTTGCATCGCCTACCCTATAGTCGACTCTACGTGTTGCATCGCCTACCCTATAGTCGACTCTACGTGTTGCATCGTCTACCCTATAGTCGACTCTACGTGTAGCATCGCCTACCCTATAGTCGACTCTACGTGTTGCATCGCCTACCCTATAGTCGACTCTACGTGTGCATCGCCTACCCTATAGTCGACTCTACGTGTTGCATCGTCTACCCTATAGTCGACTCTACGTGTTGCATCGTCTACCCTATAGTCGACTCTACGTGTTGCATCGTCTACCCTATAGTCGACTCTACGTGTTGCATCGTCTACCCTATAGTCGACTCTACGTGTTGCATCGTCTACCCTATAGTCGACTCTACGTGTTGCATCGCCTACCCTATAGTCGACTCTACGTGTTGCATCGTCTACCCTATAGTCGACTCTACGTGTTGCATCGCCTACCCTATAGTCGACTCTACGTGTTGCATCGCCTACCCTATAGTCGACTCTACGTGTTGCATCGCCTACCCTATAGTCGACTGTACGTGTTGCATCGTCTACCCTATAGTCGACTCTACGTGTTGCATCGCCTACCCTATAGTCGACTCTACGTGTTGCATCGTCTACCCTATAGTCGACTCTACGTGTGCGCATCGCCTACCCTATAGTCGACTCTACGTGTTGCATCGTCTACCCTATAGTCGACTCTACGTGTTGCATCGCCTACCCTATAGTCGACTCTACGTGTTAGCATCGCCTACCCTATAGTCGACTCTACGTGTTGCATCGTCTACCCTATAGTCGACTCTACGTGTTGCATCGTCTACCCTATAGTCGACTCTACGTGTTGCATCGTCTACCCTATAGTCGACTGTACGTGTTGCATCGCCTACCCTATAGTCGACTCTACGTGTTGCATCGTCTACCCTATAGTCGACTCTACGTGTTGCATCGTCTACCCTATAGTCGACTCTACGTGTTGCATCGCTACCCTATAGTCGACTCTACGTGTAGCATCGCCTACCCTATAGTCGACTCTACGTGTTAGCATCACCTACCCTATAGTCGACTCTACGTGTTGCATCCGTCTACCCTATAGTCGACTCTACGTGTGCATCGTCTACCCTATAGTCGACTCTACGTGTTGCATCGTCTACCCTATAGTCGACTCTACGTGTTGCATCGTCTACCCTATAGTCGACTCTACGTGTTGCATCGTTACCCTATAGTCGACTCTACGTGTTGCATCGTCTACCCTATAGTCGACTCTACGTGTTGCATCGTCTACCCTATAGTCGACTCTACGTGTTGCATCGCCTACCCTATAGTCGACTCTACGTGTTGCATCGCCTACCCTATAGTCGACTCTACGTGTTGCATCGTCTACCCTATAGTCGACTCTACGTGTTGCATCGTCTACCCTATAGTCGACTCTACGTGTTGCATCGTCTACCCTATAGTCGACTCTACGTGTTGCATCGTCTACCCTATAGTCGACTCTACGTGTTGCATCGCCTACCCTATAGTCGACTCTACGTGTTGCATCGTCTACCCTATAGTCGACTCTACGTGTTGCATCGTCTACCCTATAGTCGACTCTACGTGTTGCATCGCCTACCCTATAGTCGACTCTACGTGTTGCATCGCCTACCCTATAGTCGACTCTACGTGTTGCATCGTCTACCCTATAGTCGACTCTACGTGTTGCATCGTCTACCCTATAGTCGACTCTACGTGTTGCATCGTCTACCCTATAGTCGACTCTACGTGTTAGCATCGTCTACCCTATAGTCGACTCTACGTGTTGCATCGTCTACCCTATAGTCGACTCTACGTGTTGCATCGTCTACCCTATAGTCGACTCTACGTGTTGCATCGCCTACCCTATAGTCGACTCTACGTGTTGCATCGTCTACCCTATAGTCGACTCTACGTGTTAGCATCGTCTACCCTATAGTCGACTCTACGTGTTGCATCGTCTACCCTATAGTCGACTCTACGTGTTGCATCGCCTACCCTATAGTCGACTGTACGTGTGCATCGTCTACCCTATAGTCGACTCTACGTGTAGCATCGTCTACCCTATAGTCGACTCTACGTGTAGCATCGTCTACCCTATAGTCGACTCTACGTGTTGCATCGTCTACCCTATAGTCGACTCTACGTGTTGCATCCCACCTATAGTCGACTCTACGTGTTGCATCGTCTACCCTATAGTCGACTCTACGTGTAGCATCGTCTACCCTATAGTCGACTCTACGTGTTGCATCGTCTACCCTATAGTCGACTCTACGTGTTGCATCGCCTACCCTATAGTCGACTCTACGTGTTGCATCGCCTACCCTATAGTCGACTCTACGTGTGCATCGTCTGCCCTATAGTCGACTCTACGTGTTGCATCGCCTACCCTATAGTCGACTCTACGTGTAGCATCGTCTACCCTATAGTCGACTCTACGTGTTGCATCGCCTACCCTATAGTCGACTCTACGTGTTGCATCGCCTACCCTATAGTCGACTCTACGTGTTGCATCGCCTACCCTATAGTCGACTCTACGTGTTGCATCGTCTACCCTATAGTCGACTCTACGTGTAGCATCGCCTACCCTATAGTCGACTCTACGTGTTGCATCGTCTACCCTATAGTCGACTCTACGTGTTGCATCGCCTACCCTATAGTCGACTCTACGTGTTGCATCGCCTACCCTATAGTCGACTGTACGTGTTGCATCGTCTACCCTATAGTCGACTCTACGTGTTGCATCGCCTACCCTATAGTCGACTCTACGTGTTGCATCGCCTACCCTATAGTCGACTCTACGTGTTGCATCGCCTACCCTACACTTAACACTCTCCGTTGATCAAATCTATTAATTTACGTGGTAGAGCTATGCTGCACCTATACACCGTTATTTTGCAATAGCCGGCCTAAATTGCAGAGAAGGTTCAGAATAAGTAATAATTATATGCGAAAGGTGAAGAAAAATTTATTCAAAATAATTTCAAATATTCTGTCCTTTTTATCTTTTAATTTACAAATGCGTGGTAATGCATTATTTTAACTGGTTTTAGTGCGCACGCACACATTCGTAAGGATCAATAGGCAGGCAAAAACGTTATTCCTCATAAATTACATTCAATAGGGGATAATTTCAAATAAAAGTAGAATCCTTATTTACTCATCTTTTCAAAACCAGCAATAACGGTATAGCGTTATTTTTATATTTGAACTTTAGATTAAACTTTGGCTACTCTTTGAAAAATAACCCTGTATAGGTAGGACCACGCTCTCACAAGATACCAGAATAATAGCAGCGTAGTGCTGCTGTGTTTCGTATGTGAGTAGAGAATCGGAGGTCCTTTTTACTTCAAACGATGCATTTCATCCGAGTCTTCGGGAGCAGCAACGCATCTGCATTTTGATTCTTAATTGAGTATAGATATAGATGTCTATGGGCCACAGCATCCACTTACCATCAGATGGACTGTGGGCTCGTTTGTTTCCCGTATTCTATGTAAAAAAAACTTTTATAACACAACAAAATAGAATAAGTTCTAATTAACACAGCTTTCATATAATATTGCTAATAGTGCTAAATCTTTCCTCTTAGCTAAGTATAATCATTCCTCGAGGAAAGAAGCCATACTATACTCGATTAAGAATCAAAATGCAGATGCGTTGTCACCCCTGAGATCTAAGATGGAACGCCTCGTTTCCAGTAAAAAGTGTATCCGGTTCTCTACACTCACCATAGTTACAGTAAGCTGCTATTTGACGCTGGTATTCTGTGAGAGCGTGGTCCTGCCTCGGTGGAGCCGACCCATTCGTGCTACAACTATAATACAGCTACAGCGTGGCTTTATCACGTATAAGCTAAATTTAATGTGTACGCCCATTTCTGGCAAACAAACGCATTTTCTTTCTTTACTATAACAACAGGCTACGAAGCATTCCATCAGTGCACAGAGACGACAGCGCGTCTTGAGCTTGCTCTGCTAGAAGTTGACGGCAGCTCTCCACGGTCTGCGGCAGCCACTTGCCGTCAAGATGGCTGTAAGTTCTTTTGTCATTGTATTTTCATGAAAGAAAAAAAATTGTTGCAGGCGTAAATCCTCTTTAGTCAAGGGCTGGTTTGCGCACCAGAGAGCACATCACGCGATGGCTTGATCCGACGGCTATGGCCCAACCGCCGTACACCTTACCCTGGGGCCTGCACTGCCCTCACAGGTAAGAATAAGACTTGAATGTTTTTTTTACTCATCCTCATGGAAAATAATTTATTTTATTGGTTGACTAATAGACCTGGTAGATGAATGGGTCGGCAGCACGCTCTCACAGAATACCAGCGTAAAATAGTAGTTTAATGCTGCTGTGTTTCGTATGGTGAGTGTAGAGATCCGGAGACCCTTTTTACTGAAATCGAGGAATTCCATGTTAGTCCTCAGGGGTAACAACGCATCTGCGTTTTGATTCTTAATTGAGAATAAATGTAGATGTCTATGGGCCACAGCATTCACTTAGGTGGATTGTGTGCTCGTTTGTCACCCAATGCTATACAAAATGGGAGGTACTGAGGTGTTTGACATCCTGATGCCACAGTTAACGAAGGCTACCTTCAACCTTTGAATGTTAATTTTTGCTCCATTCTACGTAGAACGAGCCAAATTCAAAGAATTGCAATTTTTTAAAATACGGGGCTGAAACACCAACAACTTTCTAGAAGTCGCGGGACTGCTACTTAGAATTTCTTGGCAGAAAAATCCAATAACTGATTTAGGCTCGACCCGGGATTC